ACGTAGGGTCGCAAGCCCGATGGAGTGGCTGCGTTTACATGGCGCCATCACTCGGCCAGATCGCCAGCAGACAGGTCCAGTCTAGGTATTCGCCTGAGGCGGGCGCCTTTGCCGCATTCTGCACGAGAAAACGAGGAACCACAAAGGTCCGTCAGTAGTAGTCTTCTTTGTCTCCCTCGGCGATCGACGGGGCCTTTTGTTGATATCTATTCTTCCACACTGTACCCATACTGTACTGTGCAGGTACTGCACGGGCGTGTACATACCTACATACAGCCCTGGCGGCGATTGGTGCGGCGTATGAACGTCAAAGGACGGGAGTTACCCTGTAGGCAGGCCGTCCAGGCGGGATTGTTTGTACATACGTACGTTCTGTACGGCCGCTGCGTGCACTTCCTCACCGGTGGTGCGGACCAGTCCGAGCATGCTCACGTCAGGCCGCCATCGGTATCGGGTGGGTCGGTGTGGCGTCCAACTCGGCGAGAGGCGGAGCCGGAGGCGTGACTGTGGTGCCACCGTGACAAATTAATAGCGCGCTGGATACAGGTAGTATACCCCGGCGCGATGTTGGCGAGGCCAGGCCGAGTCGCCCGATGCGAGTCTCGTTGAAGATGTCTGGGCCGTTGGGTTGGTGGACGAGCATCGGCCGTCGGGGCCAGGCGGGCAAATGGCGTTGGGGGCGCGCCTCCGAGGCAAGGGGTCGTTCGATAAGCTCCAAGCCTCAAGCCTCTTTTTTGAGAGGATTCTACGGGGCGCCGCCCGCACCGTGTGCTCGACCATCGCTCGAGATCGCCAGCGATGCTCGCCGCTCCTCGTCGCCGCAGAAGTCACGGTTCTTCGGCCTCGAGACGCCTCGCTTCCCATGGTCGAGACCAGGGTGCAGCTGAGAGAATGAGGAGCGCGAGTTGGCGGCAGGGCTGCCGCCTTTCCGGCTCCTTTCGATCCTCGATGCCCTGCAGCTCGTGTACCGCCATTTACCACTCTGCCCGGCTTCTCGTATGTGGCGATCTCTCGTAATCCTACGACCACAATGACGGATGGGCGTCGACCGGAAGCAGCGAGCACAGTAAGTACTGTAGTAGCATGCTTGCGGTCACCAGCGCCTGCAACCCGGGTCAGCGCTGACGTCGAGTGATTGACAGCATGGTCCGGCCGGCGATTGCCACGGAAGCCGTGCCATCCTACAAACAAAGCCGAGGCGGCTACCGGTAGATGGTGCGAGAGTAGTCAACATGGTCTACCGTGCTGCGCTCTTAGCCGACGACCTAACGGTGCTCACGAGACCGCATCACGGATCGGAAACAGACGCTCGCTCGGCGATGCGCTCTCCTCTGCACTTGGCCGAGGAACCATCGACGGCGCGGCGAGCAAGAGGCTGAGAGTACGTAGTCGGAGGCTGCCGACTTTCCGCGCCATCCCCGAAAGCGTCGAAAGCGTCGAAAGCGTCGAAAGCGTCGAAAGCGTCGAAGGGGTTTGGCATATGCGTGCCGGTTCCAGACGGGCCCCCCCTTTGTTGCACCTTGGCGGCCGCCTCGCCCCACTTTTTGGCCGCATTCTGATTTTTAAGCTTTCGCTGCGCAGAAGGCTGGCCTCGAGCCGGTGTCTCTGGCCGACGTCCGATGGGCAGGCAGACGGTGTGGCAGCCTCAGGCTGCGAAGCGTGAGACGATTGTATGGGTGGTGAGACGCTGCACACCGACTCCTCCTGCCTCGTACATACAGGAGCCAGCTCTGCTTCTCTGTCCCGCACGCACTGCGGTGAGCGAGCTGCTTTGGCCGGAGGCGACCGAGATCGGAGAGCAACGCGAGTGCGCCATGACCGTCACCCTGCGCAGACGTTTCGCGTGCGTCGAGACGGGGTCTGCTGCTGCGGCTTCGATCTGCCCGGCAGATATCCGCGAGCCACGCAGCCAGCCACAGGCAGGCAAGCAAGGCGGCCAGGCAGGCCGATGCAGGCGGACGCAGCACCGATTTTGGTGTGCCCCTCCAGAGCCCACGTCGAAGGCCGGGCTCACAGCATACACGCACGCACGGCAAGCACCGGCCGATCCGGTTTCACCCTCCGACAAAGCTGAGCAGCGGGCAAGCAAGCAAGCAGCAAGCGCTAAGGCGTGGCCAGCAAGCAAGCGGTAGCGCCGACGACGGCGGCGGCGACGACGACGACGACAACCACCAGCGGGGTCGGACGCTTCCCCCGCTGTGATCAGTCGGCTCGCTGTCTGCACGAATACTGTACCAGAGGTGAGCTGACCACCTGGCTCGCCGTGCCCTGCCTTTTGCCACCGGTCTCGCCCGCCTGGCCCTTTGTGTGCGTGTGTCGATGTGAGTCTCCGTCAGAGCATGCAGCAAGCTGCTGCCAAGCCGGAAGCGCCCCCGAGCCATCGGACCGACTGCACAGCCGCCCCAACATCGGATGCGGCCGCGCGCTCCGTCCCGACGACGACGACGACGATGACGGCCAAGTCAAGCCTCGCAGCACCGTCAGCCAGCGCCTGCCGCTTGCTGTCACCATCACCATCATCATCGTCCATCACCATCAGCAGTGTACCGGTAGCAGCAGCAGCAGCATTGTGATCCTACCAGGCCAGGCCAGGCCAAGATAGTTCCCCGATCGCGACGACCTGCCCCCTTGTCACACAGCCCTGCCCGTTCCACCCCGTCCCCTCCTCCCTCTCGATGCCGATTCCGGCGCGGGGCCATGTCTTGCAGCGTTAACTACGTCGGTTGCTCCGATGGCAACCACCCCGATGGCATTGCCGCAGGATGAGTGACGCCTCGTCGGGGCTGGGCATCAAGCAAGAGCCGTAAGGAAGGCACGACGATACGTGTGACGGGCAGAAGAAGCAGGCAAAGCGGGGAGGCTGGGGCGCTACGTGCAGGCCGGTAGCAGCCCATCAAAAGCAACGCACACGCCCCATCTAGCGTGGTGGCTGAGCAGAGGTCAGTCGTGGCAGGTAGTACCGCTCCTGCGATGGGCTGCGCGATGGTTGCCGTCGCCTTCGCCGTCGCCGAGCGCATAGAACGGAGGCAGGCGGGTGCCCCGGACGTCGGACGGCGTGGTGGAAGCTCGAGGAAAGCGCAAGCTTGACCCTCTACTAGGCCGGGCTCCTGCCTAGGCCCCGAAGTTAGCTCATCCGTGTCCACCCACCCGCCTGCCTCCTGCCCCGCCTCATGGCGCGGCGGGATTTCGGACGGTCGGAGGCTGCTTGCTTGCTTGCTTGCTTGTGCTTTGCGGTTGCTGCTGCTTGCTTTTTGCTGGGACTCGACTGACACCCCCAGGTCTGTCGGGTTTTCCGGATGGGGGAAGGTGGCCAGGCAGGCATTCATGCGTCGATTTGCAGAGGGGAGGTGCAGTCGGTCAGGGCAGCGGCAGCACGGAAAGCCCGAGCTTGGTTCCCACCGGACCCATGGAGCCATCCGCCGTTGGGCTCCAATTTTTTTAATTGTCTTTCTTAAAAAAAAATGGGAATCGCGAGACCGGGACGGTAGGCACGCAGCCGCTGCCTCTGTTTTCAATTTCGTCCTTCTTAAAAAAAAATCCAGCTCGAGCCCGCGCCGCCTCTCAGCCAGCTGCCGGCGCTGCTTAATTCCCTCGTCGGCCTCTCTCATCTTGCAGCCTCTCCGTGTGCGCCTGGCCTGGCCTGGCCTGACCCTCGCCCCGTCCCTTTCTTTCCTGCGCTGCCTCTGAGCGGCTGGCCTCCGATCCTCCTGGATCGAGGGGCAGGCGGCCATGGCCCGCTCCACTGCCATCACGACGATCGTCTAGGACCCTGGCCGGGCGGGCCTGCCCTGGCCGCCCTCAGCCTTTCACCCAGCCTGGGGGGGCCAAATTCCTTGGTTGACGTACCGCTGGATTCCACCACCACTACCACCAGCCCGACCCTGCCCAACCCAATTCCCTCGCTGAGCACAGCGAGGCATGGCAGCCCAGGCAGGGCACTCTGCCACCCCCGCCGTCACCCAGACCGTAGGTACCCTACTTGACCCCCCTCCGCCCCCCATCCGCCTGGATGCCGCTCCTCCTCCCCTCGTCGTCCCTCGTCCTCCTGACGCCTGCCTGCCTGCCCTCATCGCCGTCGCTGTCGCCCTCCCTCTTGCCCTCCTTCCCTTGTCCAGCCCAGCCTGGCACTGAGCTCGCTCGTTTCTCAGCCTTTCCGTCGCCATCGAGCGAGCATCATCATCTTCCATCATCACCTCGTTCCACCATCTGTCCCCCCCTTAGCCCTCTGACAACCCGGTCCGTCGTGCCAGCCAACCCGTCCTGAACCTTCCAACCCCCTTGCCTCCCCCAGCCTCGACCTCCGGAATCCCAACCCAACCCAGCATCCTACTCAGCCAAGCTCGTATAGTCACAACCCTGCATCAGCGTCGACTCTACCCGGATCGGCACCACATCAGATCTCGGCCTCGACGTGGCTTGCTTGCTTCCTTCCACGGCCCTCCCCTCGCCCCTCCCTCTCTCCGCTCGTCAGCCTCCGCCGCCTTTCTCGACTTTGGTCAAAAGGAGCCACCCCCTCGACCGGCAACCCGCAGGTACCCCCTCTGGTAACCGCGACTCTTTCTTCCATCCTTCCACGGCTCTTCCCTCCCCGCCTGCTCTGCTTCCTTCCTTCCCGGCACCAACATCGACGACGACGACTCTCACTCTCTGTGCCTCTCTTGTCCATCGACTTTGACATCGTAGCGGCCCTCCAGACTCCAATAACCACCGCCATCCGCCCATCCGCCACCACAGCGGCCCTCGATCCTTCGGCACATCTCGATTTGCCATCGTCCCTCGGCCCACCTCCAGCGTCCAACTAGCTGGTCTTGCGGCCTGCCTTGCTCTGCTCTGCTCTGCGCATCTTCGGGCACCAGCCTCTTTGCCACTAGAAGAGGGCCTCGCTGCCTACCGTCTCTCATTCTCCCGGAGGCGCGCCGACACACGCACACGCACACCCACCCACCACACCACACGCCGTTGGGGTCGCGACACCCAACCCGTGTCGATCCTCTTTCGCCATGTCAGCGGCCAGCAGCGCGCACCAGCACCGCAACCTCATCGGCCATCGCATCGCCGATGGGCGGCTGGAGCTCTGCGCCGTGCTAGGTCTTGGCGCTTACGGCGTCGTCTACCTTGCACGCGACGTCACCCATCCGCTCCACCAGCAGCCCTTTGCCTCGACATCATCCCAGCAGGCATCCGCCTCGCTACTCGCGTCCACTTACGGCCCCGCCAGCGGCTACTACGCCGTCAAGTGCCTCAACAAAGTCGGTCTCGACAGCCGCCAGCGCAACTTTCAGAGGCGCGAGATCATGCTTCACACCATGGCCTCGGCTCACCCCAACGTCGTCTCCCTCCACCGCGTCATCGACAACCCCGAGGACCCCTGCGTCTATGTCGTCCTCGACTACTGCCCCGACGGCGACCTGTTCAGCATGATCACCGAAGCTCAGCGCTACGCCGTGCCGGCACCACCAGCCCACTCCCTTCCACGGTGCCCCGAGACCGGCGAGACGATCGACCTGGCCTTCACCCCAGCACGACGCGAGATGGACGCCCTGATCCGCGACGTCTTTGACCAGATCCTCGACGCTGTCGAGTACTGCCACAGCATGGGCATCTACCACCGCGACTTGAAACCCGAAAACATCCTCTGCCTGCAGGGCGGCGCCAAGGTCGTGCTAGCCGACTTCGGCCTCGCCACCGGCGAGAAGATCAGCTCCGACTTCGGCTGCGGCAGCACCTTCTACATGGGTCCGGAGTGTCAGGGCGGCATCACCCACCGGCTCGCCAGCTACAACACCGCCGCCAACGACGTGTGGTCGCTCGGCGTCATCCTCGTCAACCTCGTTTGCGGCCGAAACCCCTGGAAGCAGGCTTGCCCGGCTGACGACACCTTCCGCGAGTACCTCCGCAACCCCGACTTCCTCAAGGAGATCCTCCCGATCTCGGAGGGCGTCAACTCGATCCTGAAGCGCATCTTCACCTTCCGCTCCGAGTCGCGGTGCTCCATCAGCGACCTCCGCCGGATGATCCGCAATGTCGACCGCCTCACCGCCACCGCCGAGGAGATCAAGGCGCGGCAGGAAAAGGTCCGCGTGGCCGCACAGCAGGTCCAGGCGGCCAAGCAAGCAGAGAAGGCCGCCGCCGCCGCCGCCGCCGCCGCTGCTCAGTACCAGCTCCACCTCAAGCAGCAGGAGGCTCTGCGCGAGGCTGCACGGGCCGCTCAGGAGGCAGCTGTGCTCGCGCAGACCCAGCGTCTCTTCGACATGCATGCTCGCCACGGATCCCACACCGCCCTCATCCCCATTCAGGACACTGGCTGCCCCCAGCGCCACCTGCCCGAGCAGATGGCCGCTTGCGACAGCGGCGAAGACAGTTGCTCCGACGACCCGGACTCGACCGACAGCGAAAGCGATGCCGAATGGCACGAGGACGACGGCAGGCTGCAGGACGGCGTCGCACCTGTCCAGGTCCAACTTCGCCCTCCCGTCCAAGGCGTACCTCAGGCGGCGCCTTACACCTGCGCTCCCGTCGCCAACTGGGTCTACTCTACGGGCGAGCCTGCGACGAACGCCACAGCAAAGCTTCAGGGCCAGCGCGTCGATCACCCTACCACGTCGTACCCCGTCAAGCCTATCCAGGAGGCGCCCACGCCTGAGCTCAGCTATTGCTCGCCCGAGTCGGCGGCCGACCATGAGCTTGCTTCGGATGACTGCTCCAGCCGCAGCGGGAGCGGCGAGAGCCGTCGCAGCTCAGCGTCGTACACCGGCCTGCCACCGACGCCCGAGTTCGCGGCCCAGGCGGTCCACGGTCGCAGCGCGTTCCAGAACCTACGCAAGAGGCCCAATGCCGATTCGGAGCTCGACCTCCAGTCTCTCGTCATTGGCGCCAACGCCGAAGGGCTTTCTGCGGACTCAGATGTGCCCGAGGCCCTGCTGGACGCTTCGAGCCTGGACGCTGCTCTGCAATTCGGCACGCAGACCCAGTACGAGGATGCAAAGTGCACGCGCGGCGCGTGGGAAGAAGCCGCACCCCATTTTGCGGCTGGCGTACAGGCCTTTGCGCGCGATAACCGCTTCGGCAGCTTGCCTTCGCGCAAGTCGGCCAGGCAGCCGGCCTACGCTGCCAAGCAATCCACCCTCTTCCGGCGCGCTCGCAACTATCCAGCGTCTCCGTTCGCTCCTTGAGAGTCCAGGCCACCGACCGCCTTGTTTTCTTGGACACTACCTCGTCTCCTTGCCGCTCTCGAAAGCGAGACACCACACATAGAACGGGATCCCGAGCAGTCCTGACACACGACCCGCACCGCGCCCAAGCCCCCGGTGGAAATCCTCGCCGGATCGCTCGCTTCTGCTAAACACGCAACCCCTTCAATCTCTGGTGGACCCTTTGGACGCCCAGGCAGGCGAGGCGCAAATCGCCGTCCCCTGCGCTCGGGCCCAGGAACCTATACCTCTCTTTCCCCCTCTCTCTTTTCCCCTCGTCTCGTCGTCCACTCGCTACCCCGACCCCGACCATTCCCCTCGTTTTCCTTTTTGGACCCCGTACCTCGCCGCACCTCATACAGCAGTAGCCCAGCACACCTTCTCTCGTTGAACGCTTTCGAGACCTGTATACTATGTCCCTGCTCCCGCACCCTGTTTTTGTCTTCGTCGTCGTTGTCGTAGTACGTACGCCCCTTGCATCTCGTCGCCTTCCACATCGCTACGCCCCCTCTACCATCCATTCCCCCCCTCTAGCTATAGCTGCGACCGCCAGCAACGTATTTCTGCAACCATCCCTCCACCGCCGCCACACACGCACACCGCCGCCGCTACTGTAGCTCTACCCCAACGATGGTCGCCTTTTGGAGCTGCATGTATCAGCCTCCTGTCCGGTCTCTCCCATCTTGCTGTCTGCTGGTCTTGCCAGTGCACTCCATAGTTCCCTCTTTGCATTGCAACCGACGTACCTACATATCTGCTGCTCTTGAAGCCGTGTCGCGAAGGACCCATGTCTGTCATCGCTGGGTGGAATGTCTCAGAGCATCGGTCCCAGGGGGGGCGAGGGAGAGGCTGACCGAGGTGGAAATCAACCGACAGGACTATTGCCCGGACCTTTGCTGTGGGGCGCAGTGCGAGGGAGGGTACTGTAGGAGCCCTGTCATCGTGATGTGGCCTTGGCAGCGGAAGGCCCGGGAGATGGAGGGAACCCTGACCGGAGCGGTAGGAGCGGGCGTGGGCATGTCGAGGCGACCGGTCATACCGTCAGTCAATCGGTCAAGCTAGCGGCAGAAGTCAAGACTTCCGGGAGGAGCGAGGTGTAATCACGCGTTCCGTCTGGGCCCCCGCCCGCCTGCCAGGCCGGCCCCGTTGACGGTTGGTTCTCCGCAAATGGAAATAAAAGAAATAGGAGGGGGCCAGCAGGCGCGGCAGAACTGGAGCCGTACCGCACCGTACCTAAGCTCAGACGTAGGACTGGAATGAGCATCCAGCAAACAATCCAATCGGTAGGTCGGGCTGGCCTGGGCTGGGCTGGGCTGGGCTCGGCGACGCCGTTCAGATGGGCACACTCAACCTCGCTTGTGTTCCTGTTTAGCCGTCTCGATCCACTCGCCGAGGTGTCAACGAGGGCGGGACAATAGAAAATGGTCCTGAAGCATGCTGGAACTCGGAGGCTGGCCGGAAAAGGTTCAAGTTGAGGCAGAGACAGGAAAGCGACACAAAGGGTCCACGGGCCGGGCGGTACCTGCGCTGCCCTGGCCGTCAAAGGGGTCCAGCGCCAAGCTGGCTCCATGTACGCCCTGAGACACTCGAGGCACGCGCGCGAGCCAGAGAGCCGTCTGGCAGGCCCTCCGGTTGTCGAGCTGCCCCACTGTAGCCTCGTCTTGGCCACGACGGCATCGGTGCCCGTTCACGAACTCGGCCCGCTCGCTCGCTCGCGGCTCGTCGACGCGGTCGGAGTACTGTTGCGGGGTGCAGATCTGGACCGTGTGGCGAATGCCCAACTCCTCGACCGGCAGGCACTAGCTGGCCCGGCTCGACGATCTGGTGACCAGGCCCACTCTATTAGTTACTCTACCGCCCGACCACGCTCTCCGGGTCAATTATGGCGAGGATGCCCAAACAGCCTGTACATACGCGGTGACCGCGCCATGGCTCGCTTGTCTCGCCGAACTCTCTCTGGCAGCGGACAGCGCAGCGGGATGTTGAGCTGCGACAGAACGCGTACCCCGTGCCCTCGACCCCCGCCTGCCGCCTTGTGCGTCGTCGTTCGTGGCAGTGCGGCTCACGTTTGCACGTACGAAAGCGTACACATCGCTCGCTCACGGGATCGTGTCGGCCCGGCGTGCGTAGTGTGGTGACAGCCAAGACAAGCAGCGTGCACCTCCTTCCCCTTTCTTTCGTTTGCCACCGGGCCAGCCGAAGCGGAAGTGTGCCGCCGTCGGTGTGGAATGCGGGTCGAGGATGTCACCAACCCCGAGCACAGCCTTGGTCTATCGTTGGGCATTGCACTCCCACGCAACGATACGGAGAGCACTACTGACACCGCCATCGTCGATGACTTGCTCTCATATCGCGGCCGCTGCGGGCATCGGTAGAGAGAGGGGGCGTGGTATGGCCGCGTCCGAGATCGGAGGAGAGGGGCCGCACCACTTTACACGTCGCGCGCAGGCGCGTCCGATCGATCGATCGCGCGATGTTCGCGTAAAGTGCTACCGCCCTCTCCCAGACTTGCAGGCCGGCCGGCCTTTGTGGGCTCCTTGGCGAGGCGCGTCGCTGCCCCCGAGCGACTGAAGCGGCTAGATCGGGGTGCGTGCCTAGCCTGTCTGATGGCCGCGCCTTGCTCCCAGATCTGTACCGTGGACGATTGAGCGGTGCTCGAGAGTCCGCCCCCGCCCCGCCCCGCTCCCCAACACTCTGTCGACTAACTACCAGGTGCCTGGCCAGGCTGGGCGGGGTTTGGAGGCTGCTCGGCGCGGTAGGCACGGGCAGGGTCTGGCTGGCAGACCCCTACGGCGCAAAGACGGGCCAGTGGGCGTGACAAGGAATGTCGCCTTTCCCGACTCCGATCCTCCAACGGAGTCACGCCCGTGCCCAGCAGCTGTGCCGTTCCTCGGTCGAGGGCCGGACCTGCGTGCATGCGCTGGCTCCAGGGCCGATTGCGCCCAGAGACCATGACCATGAGATCGGCCGGCCTATGCCGATGCCACCGCCCCGAGCCAAGTGTCGGCCACCATTTCCGGGCGCCCTCCCCTGCGCTGCACATGAACGGCAGCTCAGCGCGTTGAGATGCTCTCGCGCTCGCTATCTGCGCGAAAAAGCGCAGGCCGGCAGGCAGGAATCACAGGCGCAATGCAATCTGTACCGCTGTGGTGCGCTTCCGGAGCAGCTGACGAGACACGCTGCGGCCTGTAGGGCTGTCTCCTGCGAAGAGATATCATCCTTGCGACAGCTGGCCACACCGAGCATGCCCAGTCGTCGACACGCACACACCCAGGCCAGTGCAGAGGCGGGCCGAAGCTCTCGACGAGTGGCGAAGAAATCGTGAGTAGTCACAGTACTTACTCTGTAAGTACCTACGGCCGGCCGTACGTCCTCGGCGAGGGTCCGAGATGTTGAATGCAAGGGGCTCGAGAGGGTTTTCGTGGTGGCCTCTCTCTAAGACATGGGCCTGTTTGTGGACCGCTCTCGCTCGCTTGTAGCTCGCTGCCCTCGCCTCGCTCCGTGGGTCCAGTCGGGTACTGTATGTACATGCGTATGTACGTACAACGGCTCTGGCCCGGCGAGAAGAGGCGAGGCGAAATCAGGCCGGGCGTGGTGTCCATCCATTGAACCCTACCTGCCTGCCTGTAGGATGGCGGCGCCACTCGCTCTCGCCTGGCTGAGGCCTGCCACAGCTCCTCTCCCGACCGGGGACCGGTGGCAAAGACTGCACATCCTCCGTGTGGACAGCGCACGTACCTCTCTCTTCATGACCAAACCCGCCTCCAAGAGGGAACATTCTTGGAGCTCGCCTCACCACCTCGGTCCGGCCAGTCCCACGGCATCCTTGCCTGGGTCCATACAGCAGGCGCACGCAGCACGCCCACTGTGCCGTGCTCTGACATCGTCGTCCGGTCCTCAGGGACCCAATGCCTTTGCTCGGCAACCTGGCCAGCTCCAGGTCATTCATGAACGCGACCCTCAGCTGAGCGATGGCAGGCGGACCACGCCACGGTGTCAACCAAACAGCGCGACTTTCGCGGTGGACCTGTGCCGCGAAGACGGGCCGGAGGCGACTTTTCCTGCAGGGTCGGCTGGTCGGCGCACACCCTGCCTGACCCCCGCCGCCTCACCCTCCCTTACGCCTCGAGAGCGTACTGTGCTGTAAGATAAGGAGGCGCAAGGGCAGAGCCACACCTGCCAACCTTGACCAGGCGAGCGGCGTTCGTTTGTTGGCTCCCCTGCCGGGCCCCTCGCCCGCAATCTCGTCGCAGGCGAGGGGCCGATATCGTGCGCTTTTGCCCCCAACAATTCGGATACCGGTGGCCGTTCACCCCTGCTGTGTTCCCGTATGTAGGCGCCCTTGCCTGGCTTCCTTCTCCCAGCTTCCGACCGCGTGGTGAGCCGGTGCCGTTGTTTCGTTGTCGCAGCGACGAGGAATGTGGTGCCCCTCCCACCACCACCTCCTCTGTCGTCGACCTGAACCTTGTCCTGGGTACCCTCGTGCCCTGCCAGCCCTGCCGTGCCACGTCCACCTGCCGCCTTTCCCGTCGTCCTTCTTTGTTCCCGCCTGCCCACCTGCCACGTTCTTTCCCGCAACCGCCTGCTTTCCGACTTGGCCGATAGTTAGGCTTTGGTTGATACCGTGCATCGACAACCTGTGCGTGACGTCGCCTTGGTGATTGCGGACCTGAGGTTGTCATTGCCTGCACACTGCGCTGCTCTTCGAGCACATGAGAAAAAATCGCCGGCCGCCCCTTCCCCTCTGCTGTTGCGGAAGTGCGGCCTAGCCAGAGTCGAGTACAGTGGAAATCGAGGCAGATGAGCGGTTGCCTGTCCTTTGCCGGAGGACACGCGGCGCGAGTGTCTTCTCCCGACTCTCCCTTTCCCTCGCACTCGTGCGCCCGCGCGTTCATGCGATGGTCAGGTACGGCGGCCCGGAAACCTCGAGGGCGGCAATTGCGGGACGCTGCCAGCGGGTTTTGGACTCTGCTGGCGACGCCTGCTTGCCTATCCACGGCAGAAAGAGGAGCAAGATAGAGTCTTTGGCAGGTGCTGTACAGTCTGTGTGATGAGCAGGCATGAGGGGACGAGGTGCGGTGGCCTTGCCGTCTGTCGCATCAGGTGGGCGGTGGTCTGCTGCGTGTACTGTACCATAGGAGACAGGATGGCGCCAGGAGCGACGTCTTGCCGATGCGGCCTGTACCGTGAAATCACATCCCGCGCCTTGCCGGGTTGGCCATCATCATCGAAGGGGGGCACGTCGATGCCTGCCACCCCGGCAGATGCTGCGGGCGTAGGTAAGCTCCCTATCTGGCGGAACCTGGATCTTGATCGAGTCGAGATCTTCCATCATATGGACGGGCGATGGACGGGCGGGGGTCGACGACGATGCGGAAGACGCAACAGGCAGGCGATGGCCAGACAGCCAGATGGTCCAGAGCAGGAGCTCCGCGGGCGCGCCGCGCCGACAAGGGTCCAGCCGATTGGCGTGCCCGCCCATCCCGGCGCCGCTCAACGTGGATCAGGCCGACGAGAGGCGAAACCCCTTGCACCGTCGATCCTCGTGTACTTCGATAGATTGGCTGCGGCACCCGGCGACGCTGCGCCAGCATCGTGTTCCCGATATCGGCAACAATGCGTCCAGGACGGCCTCACCCGGCATTTGCTTCCGCGATGATGGTAGGGAAAGCTATGATGAGATGTGCTCCAGGTCGAGGCGGAGGTGCAGCGACTGGGCGAGCAGGCGCATCTCAGTTCGGCCATGGGATCTCAAGATCGTCGTCGAGCGTTAGCGCTGCAGCGGCGTCTGCGCACCACTTGCCGAGTGTTCGAGGATTACATGGGTGAGAGGGTGGTGCTGCACCTTGCGATGCCGAGGGGGGCCTACCTTGGAGCGCGATATGACGCTCGGCTCACTCATAAGAGGCGGGCAGGGGCGATTAAGCTCGAGGATGCTGGTGACCACGCCACACCTTTCGTTTGCGCGGGCGGGAAAGGGAGCAAGCACGCCGACATCTTTTTGCGCTGCAGTATCACCTTGGCCGGTACCTTGCTTGCGATTGCGAGGGAGGACGCCTCGGCAAGGCCCGTATGGTGTTTCCGAGGAGGGCGATATGGAGCCCAGCGTGCCGGTGGCGGCGTACAGCGCGTGTGTAGGTACCATAGCAGAGCGTGCAGGTTCGGGAACAGGTAGAGGGGGCGGCAGAGCCCGGAGTCGCGGCGTAGAGTACGGCGCCATCGACATCGATGATGGGCGTCGACCGAAGCCCCTTGCGTCTGCGTGAGGCAGAGATACCTCGCGACGCCATCGCACATAATCCGCGCCACCCATGTTCTCGCCTCGCCTTGCCAGGCCATGCCAGGCCTGCACTGTGGACGCGGTGCTCTACACGACTTCAGGTGCAGTTGAAGGACGCTGCTGCTGGAGCGATGCGAGATGCGCTCGCCTTGGTCGTGGCACGGTAAGGTTTGATGGATGGAGCGTGGGAGTCGAAGCGGCGTGCTCTGCTGCTGTTGCAACGAGGGCAGAAGAGGAGAGCAGGCAGGCGAGCAGCGGCGCTGGCTCCCAGCATCTGCATGATGGTGATGGTTTGTTGGGTGCAGACGACGCCGTCGTTAGGCAACGACGATTGCCACCCACGCTCGACGGAGCGCAAGCCTCACCAAAGGCCTGACCTGCTGTCCATCGCGACGCGCGCCGCGAGCAGGTTGGCTTGGACGCATGAAGCGCGCTAGGTAGCGACTGGCGCCACCTGGGCAATGGCCGGCCACGCCTCGTCCAGAGATATCTCTCCTCCGCCCGTAATCTTCCTATACAGATGAGATCAGCAACGGGGTCAAGGCATGAATCTTGCCACCGTACTGAGAACGGCCAGCATTCCGCATCAGCTGCTGCAAGACCTAGCCACCGTAGCATCATCGCAGACGCTCACACGCCTTTCGGCCCCGCCTGCCTCCTGGGCCCGGTTCCTGACTCGGCGGCGGGTTCTCGAAGCCGCCTTTGGTTCGGCCATGCCATGAACCAGGGACTCTGCTGCACTCCGAAGACCACGCGCCTCTTCCGCCATCGCCATCGCCATCAGCCCCGACCCCTTGTCATCCCCCATGGCACCATTGGCTGGGCGTGCGAGAGAGGAAGAGGCATATCCGCATTCGGCCTTCTTAGTCGCCGTGTACGCAGCATCGGATGGCAGGAAGACCAACACGCACTGAAGGCAGAACTGTTCGTAGATAGGTAGGTGGGTGCCTGTGCTGTGCAGGAATGCTCCCACACCCACGCCGTTCCATGCTGGCCAGGGCGTCTGCCAGACCGAGGCTCCGAGACAGACTGCGGTCGGCCTGTCGGTGGGCAGAGGCGCCGCGACAGGCTCGACCGTGTCGCGTTGGATCCCCAAGCCTGCTTTCATACCACGGCTTTGGCTGGCCGCTCATGGACGACGCCAATGCCCGCTTCCCAATGGATGCGCCGGCTGCCTCGATCGCATGTCGCCGCGTGCTCCCGGTCCCCTTCATGGCGCTGTTCAGTGGCAAGAGGCTCGAGCGGCGATGCCAATCTCGATGCTGAGATTCTGGGAAGAGGGACCGTGCACGTTCTTTCTCAGATGATCGCATCATGCCTCCGGCGAATGGACCTTGTCCAGAGATCCTCGCCCCCTCCCGGTCGGGCTTTGAACGCTGCAGGTGTACACCTTTGGACGCCTTGACGACGAACATCAACGGCGTGTGTAGCTCCGGTGCCGATCCCGGGTCGCCAACGTCGATCTCGCTGGATGGGCCTTTTCGACACAGCTGCGCACCGTGGGAAACGAGCCTGATGGCTTACCGCTCATGGGCCCAGCCGTCTCGAGCATGCAACATGGGCTAGCTTGCTCCTAGAACGGCCAGCTGAGCGGCCATGCTGTGAAGCCTCAGAGCGAGCGAAGACCATGAGCGGACGGGTATAATGGCAGGTGAGCGCGAGGCGACACCGACTCGATGCGAGAATGACAGGTACAACAAGACGACGGGCAGGACGACGTTCCCGGCAGGCAGGCCGAGCGACGCGTTAGGATGGTGCAGAGACCATGCTCCCGCCCCTTGACCACATCGCATCAGCGATAGTACTGCTTCGAATCGCGGTAGACGGCACCTCCGGGCACCGGTGGCAGCGGCGAGTTGGCGCCGGGCGGCAGACGAGACTCGCGCCGGCGATCGGCCGGCCGTGCCCGCGCTGGTGAGCCGCCGACGGCCTGGGTCAAAGTGTTCATCGTCGCCTGTAGGGAGATAGGATGAAGGAAGACGAAAGTCGTGGGCCGGTCAGCGCAATGACTCCTCGGACCTCGCGCGAGCGCACATGGGGCCGGCTTCGACGCGCTCACCATCTGCTGTGTCAGGAAGTCGCCGGTTCCCGGCCTGTCGAAGCGACCAGAAGAGAGCAGCGAAGAGACAAGATGCGAAGCTGGTCAGCACCGTGGAGCGCGCTCACGTTCGTCGCCAGCCCGTGTCGACGCTACGCACCTCATCCGCAGGATCTTCATGGCCATGTCAGTGTTGGACGTCGACTCCTCGTCCTTCTTCTCCTGCTTCCGCTTCTTGATGGTCCCGAGCGAGCGCTGGTTGAGCACCGATTTGTTCTTGGACCGCTGCGTCGGCGCCTTTCTCAGCTTGGCCTGCATGCCGCGCACGCACTCCATCATCAGCTCGTCGGTGCTCTGGTCGTGCAGCAGCAGGTACGACAGGATCTCGCGGTACTTGGGGCCCTGCAGCACGTCGAGCGGCACGCCGTGCGTCACCCCGGTTTCGGCGTCAAAGGCGTTGAAGTAGTTTTTGAGGAAGCCGAGCCACTTGAAGACGATGTCGACCTCCTTGTCGCTCAGCTGGTGCATGTCCGAGGGCGCGTCCGAGAGCGGCGGAACGAGGATGCCCTCGATGATGTTCAACACCTCCTTCCACACCTTGGTCAGCACCAGCTGCGCCTCATCCTCGCTCAGGCTGCTCTTGAGCGTGCCCAGGCACTCGTCGAGGTAGTCGAGCAGCGGTGTGATGGCCGCCTCGATCTCGTGGTCCGACAGCTGCGCCGGCCGGTTCTTGGGCTTCTCCGACTCGACTGGCGGGATCATCGAGGCGTTGGCCGTGGTGCTCGCCAGCGCCGACGCGTAGAGCGCCTTGACGTTGCCCAGAGCCTTGTCGAGGTTGATGCCGCTCGTCTTGACCAGCGTCTTGAGCACCGTGCGCGACAGGCAATGCCGGATAAACATCGACATCTGCAAAAAGCGAAAAGATCGGGCAGGTCAGGTCGAAGCAGAGCAGAGCCAAGGCAAGAAAGGAAGGGACAAAGTCAGCCGTTAGCGCCGCGCCGTGACACGATGCCCTGCCAATCCCCCACGAGTGCCGCCCTGACTCACCTTGTCGACGATGATCCGGACCATGTCGCTCTCTGCCCGCTTGAGCGAGCGGAAGCCACGCCCAAAGTAGAACAGGATGTCGTCGCGCTCGCCCTCCATGCTGACGCGCAGCAGCAGGCGGCCCTGCGTGTCGAGGTCGAGCCAGAGCTCGTGCGAGAGGAAGTCTCCAAAGTAGCGCGGATCCAGCCGCAGGTAGGCGCGGCCGCACAGGTTGTGGTCGCCCACCAGCTTGCGGTCCCACACGGTCGCCGCTAGCCACATGGACTGATCGACATGGACGTCGAACACCTCGTCCCACCGCGGCTCCGACGTCTCGTAGATGGTCCGCGTCTTGGCAATCTTCTTTCCGCGCTCGTCGCTGAGCGTGACAAACGAGTCGATCCGGGCGTTGGCGCTCGAGTCGCGGATGGGCTGCAGGTTCTCGCCCAGCACGATCTTGATGGAAAAGATGAAGCGGTCGCGCTGCACCTTGTCGGGCACCTCGGGCGCGTGTTGCCTCACAATCTCGCTCTGCTTGTCGGCGTCGATCTTGTTGTAGAGCTTGTCGAGCAGAACGCGCGCGGCCTCGATGTTGTTGAGCTTGACGCACGAGACGTCCTGGAAGTGGAAGGGCTCGACCTTCTTCTCGCCCGAGATCGTCTGCCGCGCCTTGACCATCCAGGCCGACTGCTTCTGCTGCGCCTCCTGGCTCTCGGCGGTGCGCGGGAACATCTCCTCCATGAACAGCTCCTCGACGCGGCTGCAGTACTGCTCGATCGACCGGCTGATGATCTTGGCGAGCGAGGTGAGGAACCGCGCGTTCTGGTACTTGTCGGGCCACTTGAGCGACTGGATAAAGTCGACGGGCTGCTGGAGCGCGCCGAACAGGTCGTCGATCGAGCTGCTGTGGGCCGCGCCGTCGCTGTCGATCGGCGTGAAGCCGTCAGTGGCGATGGCGTTGGTCACCCACTCGCCCGTCTTGCGCTCCGTGTTGACGAGCCAGTGGCGGATGTGGGGCTCGAACCAGTCGGTGAGGCTGAAGGTCACCTCGCTCCCTGGGCAGAAGGCCTCGTGCATCTTGAGCAGCGCCTTGACCTTTTTGTACAGCGCAAATATGTCCTCGAACGCCAGCGGGTCCGTCTCGCGCGTGGCGTGCTCGACAATCTGGCCTCGCATCGAGTCGAGGTCGTCGAGGTAGAGCGGCACCTGCTTCTCGAGCACCAGCGAGACGGGGTCGATGGAGCCCAGCACGGGTTCCGGGTACCGCTTGTCGATCCGCTGCGCGCCCTTTTCGAGCCAGTCGATGAGCTGGACCAGGGGGACCACCTCGTTGGCCACGATCTGCGAAAAGAGCTCGGTCGTCTTGGCCGTGTACTCGTGGATCGCCATGATCCGGATGGCGTCCTTGAGCTCCTCGACGTGCCGCTCGAGCTCGACCGGCTCGCGATGCAGGTCCTTGTCGGCGCGCACGTGGCCGGACTGGTGAAGTTCCTGTATCATGGAAAAGTATGGCTCCACCTCTTCGGGCTCGACGTTGTGGATGTCCTGGAAGGTCTCGTAGAGGAAGCGGACGAAGCTCTCGAAGAGGGACGAGTAGACGCGGACGAGCAGCCTCCGCTCCGCCAGCATCCACGCCCCGGGGTCGTCGTCGGCCAGCAACCGCTGCACCGTGCCGAGCGCCTCCGAGATGCAGTCGAGCGGCACCTCGCCGCGGTCGTACTTGTACTTGATCACGTCGAGGTTTGCGATGGCGCGGTAGGGCACCATCAGCCGCCACCGCTTGGCACACTCGTCGAGCAGGTCGATGTGGTGCTTGGAGAGGATGCTGAGCGACACCTCCTCCTCCTCTGGCTGGTGCTTGATCTGCTCGAGGTCATAGTCGATGCACAGCTCCAGCGTCCGCTTGTAGTAGGCCTTGGGCTCTGGCGGGATGTAGACCATGGAGCCGAACGTCTCCTCGTCGATGTCGTCGACCGTCTGGCTCAGCGTCTCGGCGTCGGGCGCCGGGCCGCCGTTGGCCGAGGCCGCCGACACCTCGGCCGGGGCGGTGGCGATCGACTCTGGCCGCCCGCCGCCGCCGCCGCCGCCGCCGGGCTCGGCCTTTTTGAGCCCGGGCACGTCCTGCGACGTGCTCTTGAGCAGATCCGGGTTGAGAGAGCACATGTCCATCATCATCTGCGAGAGCGTCGAGAGCTCCTGCGTCCGCCACTTGGCGTAGGCCTCGTCGCTCTCAAAGTCCTCGCGCCGCCCTGGCCAGGGCTGCTGGAGGTTGATGTTCTTGACGCAGTGCTTGAGGTCGGTCATGGCGGCGTGCTCGGTGCACGTCTTCTTGACGAAGTCGACGTCGCGCGCGAGCTGGTCGGGGTCGACGTTGAACAGCCTGCCGACCGTCTGGATCAGGGCCGAATCGCCGACCGGATTGCTGGCAACGGCCAGAGTGCTCGCCGAGCTCGCCCGCCGGCTCCGGTCCGCCGAAGAGACTGCGGCCATCGCCGGCGCCTTGTGCGTTGGTGCGCTCGTCCCGTTCTGGTCCGCCGACGTCGTCGGCACCAGCTTGGCAGAGTAGCCTTCGAGCCGCTCCGTCAGCTCCCGCGGGACGCCGCTGACTGTCTTGAGGCAGTCGCGGATGATGCGAACAAAGTGGCCTACTTGGTTGTTGAGCTCCTCCTTCCACTCGTCGCCCGGCAGCCGCTTTTTGAGGCTGCCTTGCGCCGTCGTGACAAAGATCAGGATGAGCTCCTCGATCTTGCGGTTCTCCTTCATCTGCTTCTGGAATGACGCCTCCTTGAAAGTGCCGTAGAAGATGCCGATCGTTTGCCGCAGCGACTGGTCCTTGAAGTTGGGATCGCGGCCCATGGCGATCAGCTCAAGGCGGTCGTTGAGGCGCTTGATGAGCTTCTCTGGGAACCGCGCCGCCTTGGACGACGAGCCGCCCACGTCGCGGACCATGTCGGCCAGGCCCGACAGGCTCATCCACGCATCGCCGCGACCACCTCCCTCTGACGTCTTCTTTGACGAGCCGGTCGAGGAAGAGCTTGGGCCCGATAGGCTTTCCCGCGCTTTTGCCGCCTTGGCCTCTGCTCGGGACTGGCCGACGTAATGGTGATAGGCTACCTGGAGGAGGAACTGAGGCGGCGTGGACAATGAGATGGGGCGCGACATGAAGTCAGCGATGACGAGGCCATCTCGAGCGCGAGCGACCGTCACCCTTGCGACTGCGTGCACCAGCCCAGTGCAGCCGTCATCGGTGGCAGCCCTGGTTCACACTTACGACGTAGACGTCTCCGTCGGTCATTCTCTCCTTGGCGCTCATGTTGCTTCGAGTGCTTCTCGTGGTCATCGTGGGATCGCTCTTTGCAGCCGCACTCTGCCCCAGCTGGTGGAGCGATACGGTCTGCTGCGGTCGTGGCGTCGAGGCTGTGGGCTGAGTCGGATCTCGTAGGGACAGAGCAGAGCTGGCTGGCAGCGTCGATGACCGGCGTGAAAGTTGGCGAAGGAATCTGCTGACGGCCGGGCCTTTCCTAAGCAACCGACAAGAGCCAGTGCGCGGGCGTGACTGGCAGCGACGGAAGCTGTGACTAGACAGGGTGTTCCAGCTCAGCCGACATGCGACCGCCTGTCCCGACGCTCGGCCCCTTGAGAGAATGCCCGAGGCCGCCCAAGAAGAGGGATCGAAGTCGTGCCGACAAGATGGCCCTGCCCGCCAGCGGCTCGTTCCGACCTTGACGAGGAGTTCCCTTTCGGATCTGCGTCCGAGTGGCTGTGTAGACGGGCGACTGAACTTCGATGTCTCGGAGGCAGGCCGACGTCGTGTGAAGGTGGCTGCTGCTGCGGAGGCGGTCCGGCGGTCGGTCCAGGAGACGTTCGTCGACAGAGGATCGACAAGATGACCGGACTCTGTCGAGAGGGTCCCGAGTGTCGCAATGGCCCACAAGGACGGAGATGACGAGACCGAGCCGGTGAAGATGGAAAAGGAGCAGAGAGAGAGGCCAGGAAGAGACACAGCGCGAGGGTCAAGAAGGCAAGCTAAGGAGGCTGAGGAGGAGGTCGAGGAAGGCGCAAGCAGGCTGCTGACCTCGAGCTCAACTCAACTCTGAAACCCGCACACACACGCCGTGCCCCGGCCAGGCCAGGCCAGCCTCGGCCAGACCAGACCACACCGTCCGGCGTCTGTGCGTCACCGCCCGCCAGGCCTCGATCCGCACCAGGCAAGCCGAGGCCCGGATTGAGCGAGGGTGTGCCCGTCGGGCGGACGCAGCCCGATGTGCTCGCTCCCCGCCCTGGCAGGCAGGCGTGCCCAGGCCATGGTCGCCGGCGGGTCCGCCCCCGGGCGCAGAAAACAGCCAGTCGCCCGCACCAAGGTTGCGGGGCGTGGCTTGGACCAACCGAGCGGCCGGTCCGACCCCTCGCGTCTTTGTGGTAGCCGCTGCTGGCAGGCCAGGCCCTGGCTCTCCCCTTCCCCACCACCTCCATCATCATCATCATCATCATCCTGCTTTTACACTGCTCTCACCGCTTCGGCCCGCCTCCGATCACCTCTGTTCGCCTTGTCTCGCGGCGACGCCTCTTGCTTGTTTCTGCCGTCCCTCTCCTGCTTCTCCTACTGATCGCGGCTGCCTGGCCACGACCATCTATCGCGAGACTCGCCCACCATGGCTTCGACGGAAGACACCGACGACCTCTACGCCGACCTCTACGCCGACACCGGCGCTCAGGATATCGATGGCAACCCGACCAGCGGCGGCGGCCTGACCGAGGACGGCGACGAAGACGACCTCATCATGTACAACGACGACACCACCACCCAGCCTGCCGCCTCCGACTCGAACCTGCCATCCAAGCCTTCTTTCATCCCTCCTGCCAGCGGCAAGAGCACCTCTTTCATCCCGCCACCTCCTGCAGCAGCAGCAGGAGCAGCAGCAGCATCGTCGTCATCGTCGAAACAGCCGCCACAAGGTGTGAACCCTGGCCAGCAGAGCAACGGTTCCGCGCACACATCACAGCAGGGTGCGGGCCAGTCGACCGGCGATGCGGCCGCCAAACCAGAGAAGGGCGATGGATCCGGCGCCGAAAAGACCCTGTTGCCTCATGAGATGCCAGAAGAAGGGTGAGTGGCAGTGGTCCCCAGAACCGCCTTCGACCAGACAGACGGCTACACGCCACCTTCAAGACAGATCCTCGCCAGAGTCTGGTGCCGCTGCTGTTGGCGTCCTTGCAGTCCTCGGCATACCTCTAGCAGCAGAGTGTCGTCCATCCCTCCTAGCCCACAGCATCGCCCTGTCGTCATCCTCGCCGTCGTCATCGTTGGATTCGTTGATAGCCGTCTCGAGACCAGTCATTGACCCTGCGGTTCCCACCCTGCTACGATCCGCTCGCATACCCCCTTCACCGCCCACTATCTACCTTCGATACCTTCGACCCTCGCCCCGTCGCTCGACTACCGCTCGTTCGCTACTGCTCGCGGGGACGATGTAACAACCCCACCACGCCCGCCGTTCCCGTACTCTGGACCTGCCATTGCGCGCAATGCTACCCATACACGACACACCGCCCCTTCCTCGACCGATGGCCCCACCGTCTGGCGTTCGCAGCAAGATGTTTGTTGGCGGGCTGAACTGGGATACCACCGATGGTAACTACCACGCCTTTGCCTCGGCCCCTCGTACCGCCAAAGTGACAGCCCGTCCGCCTACTGACGCTTGCCTTTTGGTCCACCTCCCATCCTGCGCCGTGCCAACCAGAGGGCCTGAGAAACTACTTTTCGCAGTTTGGCGAGGTCGGACACTGCACCATCATGCGAGACGCCGCAACGGGCCGGTCGAGGTGCTTTGCCTTCCTCACCTTTGTCGATCCCAAGGCCGTCAACACCGTCATGGTCCGGGAGCACTTCCTCGACGGCAAGGTGGTGAGTGGATGGTGGCGGCTCGTTCGGCCACGGCCGGCGCTGGCCTCGAAGCCGAACCCGCCTCCCGACTGACGCCGTCCAACGACTGAAATGCACTGCACCCGATCAGATCGATCCCAAGCGGGCCATCCCCCGTCCCGAGCAGAACGTTTCGCGCTCGCAAAAGGTCTTTGTGGGCGGCCTGCCGCAGAGCGTGACGCCGCAGTCGTTCCGCGCCTACTTTGAGCAGTTCGGCGCCGTCATCGAGAGCAACTGCATGATGGACAAGGAGACGGGCAACCCGCGCGGGTTCGGCTTCATCACCTTTCAGGACGAGACGAGCGTCCAGCACGTGCTCAACATCCAGCCGCTCAACTTTGAGGGCAAGATGGTCGAGGTCAAGCGCGCCCAGACCCGCAGCGACGCCAACAACGCGCGCGGGATCGGTGGCGGCGGCGCCGGTGGCGCAAGGTTCGATGGAGGACGCGGTGGCGGTGGCGGCATGGGC